ACCTGGTCTGGGATCACAGCCGGCCCCAACTCTAGCAGGGCCCAGCCTATCCAGAGGGCAGAGAGATAGCTTGGACCTCACTTCCCAAACAATTACGTGAACTCTCTAGAGAGATGAGAAGAGAAGTCTCCTGGGCTCTTCTCCCAACTCAGTCAGGGTAACCTGGGGTCAGGCACTTAGTCCAAGCCTAACCAGATAAAAGAGAGGAAGTTACCTGTGGCCAACTTCCTAACAACCCATGTTCTTCCCTTTCCAAATGCACCTGTTCCTCAATCAGGTTTTCTATGATTACTCCCACTTAACTATGACCACTATTATTAAACTATATCTTCCGAACATTTGTATAAAGAACCGGCCCTACATTTATTGCTCCATGGTATTGTCCATAAGCATGGGCAGTGGAAAAAGTTAGAAGACATGGGTTCAAATCTCAGCTCTGCCACTTGTTCCCTAAGTGATCTTGCACCAGTCATCAGCCTCTCTGGGACTCAGTTACCTTATCTGTAAAATGAAAAGGCTGACCTAAGGGACTTCTCAGATCCCGTTCATCTCTAAATTGATGACCCTGTGTCTCCTGTTTCTTCTTACTCTGCCTCTAGGCCAGAAGAGCTCCATAATGGCAAAGACTGTTTTCTCAACCAGACTAAAGGCTTCTTGAGGGCAGTAACTGTTCCCTTCCTTGGACTTGGTAGTAACCAGGATAGGTCTCTGCTCATAAGAGGAAATTCAGAACAGGGAAGTGACTGACCCTATGGGCTGTTAAAGGGAGAAAGAGAGAGAGAGAGGAGGAAGGTGTTGAACATGTTAATTGCAAAGATTTTGTCCTAGAAAACCTGCTGCTCCAGGAGGCAGCGGATGCTGACATCCAAGCAAATTTGGGCACTGATATATCTGAGAAACTAAGCTAGTATCTGAAATTGACAGCAAGATAAAGCTGCCCTATCCCAACAACAGAAAATCTAGGCTCCCGCCAGAAGCCGCATCCTGGGTTTATGTGTGCTCCCCCAGGCAAGCTTACCAACGAAATCTCTGCTCTACCAGCCACTGGATGCCTGGCACAATAAGCAGCCAAGCCCAGGAATCTAGGAACACCTCAGATTTAACCTGATCACTGCACACAACTCCAACCCACATTTCCAGACAACAACAACCATACCAGAACCTAGGAAGGAGGTAGAAGCATTGATTGTATTGGCATCAAAAGTCCCAGTGCCCAACAACCCCTTCAGCTGTTCTGTCTAATGCAGAGGAATCCCAGAAAACTCCTGAGTGCAGGTGACAAGATTAAAATGTAATTAGGAAATATTTAACAAAGTAAATGAAAAGAAAAGAAAGTATAGGTACTATTAATTTGTCCCACAAGGATATGTTTCTATTTGAGTTTGACCCCACTGCCTAAAGGTAGGGAATATAAACAATCTGAGTCTGCATCTCTCTCCCCCAGTAGAGTGGGATCTGGCTAATTCACCCATTCTTATTTTCTAAACATCTTTTTGTTTCCAAGGACAGAGTTCTTTGCTTCCCTCCCATCTCTTTATGTTATCTGAGACTCAGAGATCTTAATGCACCAGTGGCTGAGCAAGGAAGGTGGGGCAAGGGATGGGAAAAGCTATATGATCAGAGCCTTAGAAGCTTAAGACCCAGTCACTACACAGCTAGGCCCCAACCTCAATCACAGAAAACAAAATATAGCAACTTCAACTACAAGACAGTAGCTATATCCTTCATGTGTCACCAAAACTTCAAGCTAAGCTCAGCCCAATAAAAGAATAAAGAAACTAACTAGCGAAGCTGGCAAAACTAGGTCTTCTTTCTGTGTTCTGACTTCTCAATGGGTACGGACAGCAGGCTCTGAGCACTGTAGGAGAGGGGTCAATGACATACCCACAGCAGCTGGGACTCAGGAAAGATGGTGACAGGTTACACAATAAAATTTTGATTGAATGGAACTGAAATGTTTAATCATTTCACAAGAGAATCATGGTTCAATCAACTCTCAATTGCATTCAAAGGCTATCGCTACTCCTCTTTCCAGAGAGACCCTGCAGAAAAAAGACCAATGGGTTGAAGCTATGAGGTCAGAGTCCCACTTTATTTGGAAAAAAAAAAGCTTGATAAACATTTGAACTATCCAGAAACAGAATGGCCTGCTGGAGGAGGTAATGAGATCAACAATCTAAGGAACTAAAATAGGAAAAGACCTTAAATGATCATCAGATCATCTATTCCAGTCCCCTTATTTTACATAGCAGGAAACTGAAACCTATAGAGGTTGAAGTGACTTGTCCAAGATCTCCATAAGTAATAGAGCCTGTACACAAACCCTGGACCTGATTAAATCCAGTGTACTCAGTCCATTCTTCAACATCAGGAGTTTTTAAGAGGAAGCTGAACCACTTTTGGGGACAGTATGGAAGAAATTCACGCTTTGGGTCTTTGCTAGACTAGACAAACTTGGAGATTTCTGCCAGTTCTGAGATTCTGAAGACCTCGGTACCTGAATTCAAGAGGATTCTTCATTTCTCTGCCTATACAAAGCAGGAGGCTGTCAGTCCTCCCTACTCCCCCACCAGGCATAAAGGGAGACCTGAGGAGTTTGAAGAGGCAAGCTATTTCATCTTAACATAGGTGAGCCATACATAGAAAGGTGAGGATTTGCAGTTTGCTCTCATGGGACCTGAGATTTAGAGCTGCAAGGGAAATGAAAAGGCCATTTAGTTCCACCCCCTCATGTTACGAATGAAGAAATAGGGATTCAGAAAAATTAAGTGTTGCCTCAATGGTCATGCTAAATCTTCCATTTATACCTCTAAAATTTCTTATCTGTTCTAAAGAGGATAAGAATAGTTTTTAAGGCCTAAGATTAAGCTCAGGTACTTTCTTTCTCTCCCTCTCTCACACACACAGAGCTCCAGTTGTACCCAAAGAGGGTGGGAGTGGAAGTGGGAGGTTAGGAGGCCAGAATACATCTCCTAAAGAGGAATGCTGGGGAGATCAGAACAAAAGGAAGCATGAGTCAGACTTCTCATCACCTCTAACACTCTCTTGGACTCCCTGTCTCTCATCCCCAGTTGGTCCCTTGACTTCTGTGGGTCATGCATCAGTCTGGCACTTTGGGCTTAAGGTAAACAATTCATCTCTTATGAGTGCTTCATTCTCTTCATCCCAAGACCACAGAATTCGAGATCTCAGCCTCCTCTAAGGTCTTGTTGACACTTCCCCTGTCTCCTAGTGTCTAGGACTAAAAGAGTAGATAAGACATAATTTCTTTGTACAAGAAAGACAAGAAGGGATGAGGAGGAGAGAATTGTGGGCATTTCTTCCATGGTAAGAGGTTGGGACCTTTCCCCTTCTCTTCAACCCTCCCCCAACACACACACACACACACACACACACACACACACACACACACACACACACACACTGCACTGGCTGGGAAGGCTGTAAAATCTTGGAGCTGATCTTGCCCAGGGGACCAGGTATGAAGATAGTATACAGCAAGAGGCTGCATATGATGAAAGTCCAAATGATTCAGCACTCTGCCCACTCCCAGCCCTGAGGGCCACACAAAGGCATCATGACTCTATTTGGAGTTGGGAAAACAATCCTGTGCCAAAAATCCTAAATTTACCAAACCACCAGTGAAACCTTTATACCATCATTTCCAGGTCAGGGCTCAGAACAAGAACTTGGAATAATCTATGAAGCCATTATGGTCTTCCTTGCCTCCCAATCCACTAACATACACTCAACTCTATCCCACCACAAAGTCCAACCAGGAAACAAACCAGCCTCCTAAGGCAACTAGAGCAGCTGGCATAGAGGGTCTGGAGGCAGAGAAGGAACAGCAGGGAGGCATATTCCACATCCTGCACCCCAAAGGAAGACACAAGGCATTGGGAGGAAGAAGGTTATAGCCAAAAGCTCTAACAAAGCACACTCAGCCTTCCTATGCCCAGACCCAAGGATGGGAAAAGGGAAGGATGAGAAATTCTAAGGGAGGGATGGAGCAATAGGATATGGAATTAAGTGGCAGCAATATACTTTAGAAAAGAGTGCTGGAGGGGGTGGATGGAGAAGGTTATAGAGAGGAGTGGAATCAGCCGAGAGAGTTGAGGGGTCTTCACTGAAAAGGAATAATATAGATAAGGGAGAGATGGATCAGACAGGGCACTCAGTAGTAGACTGGGATAGAGTATAGAAAGAAGTGGTAAAGAGATGTCATAAACAGTGAGGCCAGAGTGGGAAAGAGAGGACTCTTAAGGAAAGGTCATGGACAACTATTAGTGAGAAGCCTAGAAGGTGATAGAATAGGGCAAGGAGAGAGGCTGACATATAATGTGGAAGAAGATATAAGATAGGATTGAGAGGTAAATAGAAGGAGGACTGTGGACTGGGACCTCAGCTAGGAGGTAGACAAGAGAGAGATAAGGAATAGAAGTAGCAATAAAGAAATATATCAAGGAGGATAGGGCAAAAGGAGAGGGTGGGAAGGTAAACAGAACTGAGATGGGGAATCAAAATGGGGGGGAAGGATGGAAAGGGTGATGGAGATACAGATAGGAAGGGGGATGGGGAAATGGATAGGGAGGAGTATAAGAAGGGGGATGGGGAGGATAGAAAGAGGGATGGGAGATGGATAGGCAGGAGGATGGGAAGACGAATACAAAGGGGGATGGGGAGACAGATAGGAAGGAGAATGGGGAGAGTATAGGAAGGGGACGAAGAGAGAAGATAGGAAGGGGGATGGAAATAGTAAAGATGATGGTGAAGAAGGCAGACTTCATAGGGGATAGGAGATAGGAAATGATAATGAGGAAGTGCTCATGTGGAAAGTGAGGAATAGTAAGGCTGATGGGGAGGCGAACGAAAGCGGGAGAGAGGATAGGAAAGATGATGGGGAGGAGGACTGGAGGTGGGTGTCTCTGTCCAGGATTCCAGAGCCCATAGATTCTCCCTACATCCCCCACCCCCGTCCCACCAGGGCAGAGCTCTCTTACCTCTCTCCCCCCAGGGCTTGAAACTCCGGCTCCAGTGCAGGTCCAGGAGCAGTCAGGGTCCTCGGTTGCCGGGGCCACCACTTGTCCCCTTCTACGCCTGCAGCGCCTCTCGCCGCCAGCCGCATTAGGGCAGAGACCAGCCCGTGCGCGTCCCCGGGGCCTGACTGGCGCGCCCCCGACAGCCTGCGTGCGCGCCACCCTTCTCCTCCCTTCACTCTTTCCTTCCTTCTCCTCCTGGGGCACGCGCTGAAGCGAGACTCAGAGAAGGAAGGGAGCGCGCACTGCACGGAGAGGGGAAGGATGCTCCAGGCCTGCCCCTGGCCCCGCCCCTGCCACCTGGGCTGTGGCCCTGCCCCCACCCCAATGGCGGCTCCCAGGGAGCTGAGACCCCTGAAAATCCTCTCCTCCTCCTTGTGACCGCACTGAGCTGCTATGAATAGAGGCTAGGGTCACCAGCTGTCTGCCTCTCCAACCAAGAGCAGGAGGAAATGGACTGAGGTTACAGGATGAGATATTTAGATCAGACCCAAGGAAGAACTGCCCAATGGAGAGGGCTGTTTGACATTAAACCCTGCGCAAAGTGGTGGAAATCTCTTTTTAAAACATTCATTCATTATTAATAAACATTTATGAAGTACCTACTATGTGTGGTGCACTTTGTTGAGAGGGAGGGAGGCAGATATAAAAATGAATAAGACAAAGGGGAGATTTTAAAAAATGTAAACAGGTACAAAACAAATTTGAATATGTCAAGTATATGTCTGGAATTTAAAATTGATATGTAAATACGTAGAAGAAAACCTTATGCACACATATATACCAAGGGGGTTTGGGGGGTTTTTTCAGTTGTTTTTAATCATTTGAGGTTTTCTTGGCAAAGATACTGCAGTGGTTTACCATTTCCTTCTCCAGCTCATTTTACAGATGAGGAAACTGAGGCAAACAGGGTGAAGTGACTTGCCCAGGATCACAGAGGTAGTAAGTGTCTGAGGCCAGATTTGAATTGAAAAGATAAGTCTTCTGACTCCAGACCTAGCCAGGCCCAGCACGGCCCAGCACTCTAACCACTGTGCCACGAATTTAGATCATGCCTGGTGGCCCTGGCTTCTCCAAGACTGTGCCTGTGACACTGACATCTCAGCTGCAAGCTTTCATATCAAATAGGGGCGCAGTGATGGACTGTCACCTGAAGACACAGGACCAGAATTCAAGTCCTGGCTCTGCTATGTAATACCTCTGTGATTTGGGGTGTCTTTTTCCCACTCTGGGCCTCGTTTTCTTCACCTTGTAAAATGAGGAGGTTGGGCAAGATGACCTCTTAGGTCCCTTCCAGTTTAAGAGCAGAGGCTTATCACCAGAATGTTGGCTGCAAAGTAAGGATTTTTTTTTTACTGCAGTAGCTCACCCAGACTATTTGCTAAGGCATAGGAGAGTTTGCAATCTGTCTTCTAGATTCTTTAAATATTGAAGGATATATAAGCACAATGACAATCAGAAAATAATTTGGAGAGATGAGATTAAAGTTTACTATTAAAGGGTGGGGGAAATTCTCCATAAAGTTAAATTTATGTTTTAAAAACAGACAACTGGATTTTTATTCCTCAATGATGGCTTCCTGGATGGATAAGATTTATTTCATGCTTCTGACTGATTCTTCTTTCATCATTTTCTCTCCTTTCACTCACACTGTGCAGGAGGGCCAAAAAACTCCACACATTAAATAAAAAAGTATACCACCCCATCACCCCCTTCTTCCTGTATTCCCTCTCTAAAAACAAAAACAGCAACACCAGCCCAAAGATAATTCCCCTTCCCCCACCTTGGCTAGCGAGGGATAATGACTCAGTTCAGAACTATCTGCCTTGCTCTTCAGTGGGAATCAATACAGTATAATGCTTACTAGGTCCTGGGCAAGATTCTCAAGACCCTGGTCCTGAGCACCCTGATGAAATGTGAAGCCAAGTCCTGAAGAGCAGGAAAAGGAAGGATTGGGAAAGGGAGGGGAGGAGAGAGGAAGTTGTTTCAGGCTGAAAATAGGCAGAAGCAGAGAATGTCAGTGCTGGAAGAAACTTCAGAGATCATTTAGTCCAACCCAATGATGTCCCAGATGAGGAGAAAGAAGAAAGAGGAGGAGGGAGAGGAGGATCATTTTAGCACTGTAAGAGGTCATAGAAGCCACTTAGTTCAATGAGCCAGAACATCCTCTGCAATCCCACTGACAAGCTTTGTCCACTACACGGCATCCAGTAAGTCTACTCACCATCTGCCAAGGCAGCCCATCCAACTTTTGAATCATTATACTTACTAGGAAGATTTTCCTGACATTAAGTTTTAATCTCCGTCCGTTCAACTTCTACCCTCCTACTTCTCCTACTTCTGGCCTCTAGGAACAAGCAGAAAAAAACAAAATCTTTCTTCTTCATGATAACCCTTCAAATACTTTAAAACAGCTATTGGGGGCAGCTAGGTGGTGCAGTGCATAGAGCCTGGAGTCAGGAAGACCTGAGTTCAAATTTGGCTTCAGATATTTACTAGCTGTGTGACCCTGGGCAAGTCACTTAATCCTGATTGCCTCATCCACCAAAAAACAAAAACAAAAACAAAAACAAAAAAACCCAGCTATTACATCCCCCTACTCCCCACCTTATGGTGAAACAGCTCCATTTTCAACTGATCTTCATATGGCATGGTCTCCAGGCTCCTCACTATCCTGGCTGCCCTCCTATGGCTTTGACTCATTTTGTTAATATCCTTCCTAGAACATTAATACTTAGAACAATATTCCAGACTTGGTCTGACCAATAAAATTCCGTGCAACAGCACTGTTACCTTCTTCATTCTAAATGAATTGACTACCCTAATTCTTCCTAAAATCAGGTGAGTGCACTGGCTGGTATGTCACATTGATACAATAATTAACAACTGGTTTTACAGTTTGCAAAGTGCTTTTTACAAATATCTCATTTGTTCTTAAAACCCTGAGAAGTAGGTGCTATTAATAACTGTCTGAGATTGGATTTGAACTCAGGTCTTCCTCACTCCAGGCCCAGTACTCTATCCCACTGTGCCACCTACCTGCCACCCCCATTTTACAGATTAGGAAACATGAAGACAAAGGTTAAATGACTTCTCCAGGGTTACATAGCTAGTGAGTGTATGAGGTTGGAGTTGAACTTGGTACTTCCTGACTTGAGATCCAGTGATCTATCCACTGCACCATCTAGCTGCCTCATTAGTGGGACATAGTGGATGACGTGTTAGACTTGGAGTCAAAAAGACTTGGGTTCAAATCCTGCCTCTGACACTTGCTGGCTGTGTGACCACAGGCAAGTGAATGGATCCCTCTGAGTTTCAGACAACTCTTTAAAACCATTAGTTTTGTCTTATAGTTGTAATCTGAGAGTTCCAACACCATTGATGTCCCATTGCTGACTCATGCTGATCTTACTACTCACTAAAACTCCCAGATCTTTATCATAGGAATGCTTCTCTAACCATACCTCTTCAACTTGTGCAGCAAGGACTTACTTTATGTGTGCAGAAACTGAGGCTCACACAGGTCACACAGTTATGAAGTGGTAGGACTCAAATCTAGATGTTCTGACTCTAATCAAAGAGACCTAAGTAGTGCTGGTCAGATGAGATGAAGGAGTAGAAGCCTCAAATAATCTGTTTTCAGAGCCAGAAGGGACCTGGAAAGAGAATTAGCTATGGATCAGAGGTCCTGAGTTTCAATCCCACTTGTGATTCTCACTACCTGTGTAGCCTCCTTCATTCATACCTAGGCTCTCACTCTGGATGCCATCTCACCTAGGGCATGTCCATCCTGGAGATAACTCTGCCCTAAGGCAGGTTGGTGACTTCCTGATTGATGAAGTCAGGAACTGTCCTGATTGGTGACTTCCTCCCAGGTCTGCCATTTTAGGAAGGAACCCAGCCATACTTCATCTTAGTCATATCTGGACTCTAGCTTCTATGGATCCTCCTCTTCCTCTTCTCCTGCTGCATGCTCCTCCCACTTTTCCAGCAACCTTTTTTTTTGGTCATTTTTCCCCTTTAGGACATAAGCTCCTCAAGTTGTTCGTGCATGTATTTTTATGGCCAGCGCTTAACATTTCTGCTTGGCACATAGTAAGTGCTTAATAAGTATTCTTTTTTTCTTTATCTTTCTTTATCTTTCAAGTTTTCTATCTTTCTATGTCTTTATCTATCTAATCTTGGGGAAGTCACTTACCTTCTCTTGGCCTCAGTTTCCTTATCTGTAAAATGAGGAGGTTCATCTAGATGTACTCTGACATCCCTTATAGATCTGTGACCCTTAAACAATCTCTGGATCAGCCCTTGTATTTGACAGCTGAGGAAACTGAGGGGTGGGATGAAATGACTTGCTCAGGGTCAAAGTGTGGCTTATTGGCTAGCACACAAGACCAGGAATCAGGAGACCTGGGTTCAAATCTTGTCTCTGACTCAAACTACCTTTGTGACCTTGAACAAAACATTTTACTTTCTTGTCCTCATTTTCCTTATGTGTCACCCAAAAGGCCACAGAACTGTTATCTGATTATTCCTCAATGCAGGAATACGTCGCTGCTTTCTATTTTTCCTGCCTTTCCTTCAGTCAATGATTCCGCTTGTGCTGAAACCCCAATTTCTTAACCCCTTTTCTCTGAGTATGGATTTGAAGCATCCTTCAGGTTTTTCCTATCCATTTGTTTAGCTTCAGAGACTTAAGCTTTTGGTGGGCAGGGGTACTGTCCCATATGTCTTGGTATATATGCAGCCAGTGATAGGCACAGCAGTTTGTACAGGAGGTAAATATTTATTGATAATGCTGGTGGTGGGTACACTGTCCTGTTTCTACTTGTTACCCATTCTGACAGGGGATGGGGGTGAATGTAAGGGTGGAGTAGATTTATCCTTCTCCAATCTGGTCATCAATAATTTCTGCGCAGGGCAGATGGGAGGAATGAAGGCAGGAACTGTTTCGTTTTTTTTTCTTTTTTATCCCTACTGCTTAGCAAAGTGTTTGGCACATAGAATGAATGATGCCTAGCAGAAGAGTGAAGAATGAACTCATGTTTCTCTAGATGAGCATTAGTTCTGGGGTCAGAATACCTTGGTTCAAAGTGAAGCTCTGATGCTTACCTGTGTGACCCTAAGCAAGT